TATAGGAAAATCAGCACTGACATCATATATCTGATTAAGGTTGACTAGTCAAAAATTTATGGTAAGTTGCCGTTTGTGTTTGTAAACTTTACAACTATGGAGTTTTTATCATTGAAATGTTCAGGAAACGCCGATAAAAAAGATTTAGATTCACATGTTTACCCACTAGTGAATTAGGCAGGCCCATAACAACATTTTTAAAAGTAATTCTTGTCAGTGAAGCATTATATATTACATCACAAGAAAAACTACTAATGGTAACGGCTATTTCAATGTACATACGGCGTTAAAATCGAGATCTTTGGTTCAAAAATTGTTTAGATATATTCCCAATCATAAATATGATAATTATGATTTAATCATATAAGTTGTTTCCTATAAAACTATCCAGGTATGAGATTTTTATGGACGATGTCAAACCTGACCAGCTGAGTGTTGGCTTTCTGCGAGATTTCATCTCCCTTCCCCAGTCATATTTTTCTTCTGGTGCAGAAATAGCATTTCGTAAGTAGAAAGACTCGTCGTCCAGCTGCACTTTTTTTAAGATACCCACTTTAATATTTTGGAAACTAACCTTACCACGCATATTGTGGAATACTTGAACAACACTGCTCTAAACAACTATAATCAATTATGGATTTATGTCAAACTCAAAATTGGTAGAATTGGCATTTCTACCGGGGTACCGGTGGTGATCCCGATTGAAGTCTTTGTCGATAGACTTCTAACAGGATGATGTGTTAGGTTGGTTCCCCATTACAAATTGTTAATAAAAAAGTCAATCTATTGAAAAAGGTGAGAAATTCAGACCGTCTTCAAAGTAAATATCTTAAAATTTGCAAACTAAACTTGAGGCCTATCTCGGAATGTATACGTATGTATACGTAGAATCGCCGTTTGTACCAGATTGCAGTCTCTACTTTAACAGCGACTTGTACCGTCTACCTTCGACTTTTAAAAACTGTTTTAAAACTTAAAAAAAAAAGTTTATGTTCTGCAATTTCAGAAAACTTCTACCTCCGCTGGGGAACACACTACATCAAGTCAGCCACATTTGGTGGCCAGCTGAAAATCATGAAAACAAAGGTAGCAACAAAGGACCTGTCGATGTCTGAATTTGCCACTAGAGCCGAGGCTGACTGGAAGATGACCCTAAATACATTCGGAGCGTATGCGTCACAAAGCAACATAGAGTTCGGGTATATAAAAGAGGCAAAGACTGAGATAAAGCAAAAAAACGGAAAGGCAGCTGCCGGTTCAGCATCATCTGCCAACAGATACCAGTGGAAACAAGCGTACGTTTCTTTTTTTTTTTTTTTTCAAAACGAAAGAAAGATGCATGCCTAACGCATTTGTATGCAGTATTTCTATTGATGTTATCTTGCCGTTTCCAGTTGTTGTTTTTTTCTGTCATATTACAGATGCTTATAAACGGGCACCTTACGCCGATGTGTATCCCTTTTGCCGTAAATTATCCCAGTGTATTAAAGACGCATATATAAATAATGAAAAAAAAAACGATTCTGTCTCCGTATGGTCGACCGTTGATGATGGTAATGATGTAAACAGTAGTTTATTTTTTTAAACCTAAAACGAATATTGTAGGTCATCCCAGGAGTACAGTAGCGAGGTGATGGTGGTTCAAGGTGGAGACCAGAAGATCGCCGCTGCCATCACGGAGATGTACACGACAGCCCTAACAACAGAGCTGAAGGACTGGTTGGAGTCCATTGACGACTACCCCAAACCTTTCTCTTTTGTGTTGAGGCCAGTTTCGGAATTGCTGAACATCCCATTCGACTCGCTCTTCCCTGCAGGAAATGTCGACTATGGATGTCTTGGTACAAGGTATTTTTTTCATCGTACAATTTACTTATATTACATCATAAAGGGTAAGTTGTATGGATAGTGGCTAAAAATTAAGGAATAACTAGAAAGGCCGACATTTGCTTGAGAGCAAATGCAGCAGATGGCTTCACCCTATCCCCCATACCGAAAATGGATCCATCCTACGATGGCTGCCAATAGTCTACACCCCCATGCAGAAATGGAACCTTCCAATGCCGAAAATAGCCAAAAAGCCCTATTTTACATAAATTTAAAGTGGTGTATGTCAAAATCGTGAATGACATTCTTTGGACATGTGTCCAAGGTATTCCCATACCAAATTTCAGGTCATTCGGATTTAATATTAGGGCACAGGTGCCAAAAATGTACATTTTTGGTCCGAAAATAGCAAAAAAGCCCTATTTTACACAATTTTAAAGTGGTATATGTCAAAAGCGTGAATGGCATTCTTTGGACACGTGTCTAAGGTATCCCCATACCGAATTTCAGGTCATTCAGATTTAATATTAGGGCACAGGAGCCAAAAATGTACATTTTGGGTCCGAAAATAGCCAAAAAGCCTTATTTTTCCCAATTTTAAAGTGGTGTATGTCAATAGCTTGAATGATTTTTGTAGACATATGTCCAAGGTATCCCCATACCAAATTTCAGGTCATTTGGTTTTAGTACCTGGGAACCAGATCTCAAAATGTATATTTTTTGCCTGAAAATGGCCAAAAAACCCAAATAAAACAATTTTTCAAAAAATGAAAAAAAAGCGTCGGGGTATTTGCCCACTCTACCTTCATGCCAAGTTTCGTGTTATTTGGCCGGAAAATGGCAGAGATGAATCCATTTAAAGAAATGGCAGGAGAAGAAGAAGAAACATGAGGGAACACAATATGTCTTCACCACTTTGTGGTGAAGCCATAAAAATTCTATGCTTCTTTCTTGTTCACACAGTGTGACATAGTACAGCGCAAGTGGTAGCGCACTCAAGTTTCTAAGACTTATTTAGTGTTTGTTGTTAACATTGGTTACAATTATGATTTCAACTGTTCCTTTTTTTATTTCATTCAGACAGCTAAAGACAGAAAAGAAGACAGGCCGAAAATACTATACACAAGAGACAGTAAACCCGGATGTTGGTAACACAGCAGCTAAAAATAGCAGTAAGACAATAATGGTCTCCGAGATCCGTTATTGTGACTTCGCGGACCGCAATGATCTCGAAAACAGCATGACCAAGAGAAGGCTATCCCTTGAACGTGCTGTGACTGTGTACTTAGAGGAGGTAAGTAACATAAGTAGCCAAGATAATAAAGTACCTTTTAGCATGCATGCCTTTTTAAAACAAACTATTTTTACCTTCGCCAATAAGGTTAGGTTTTCAGTAGTGTTTGTCAGTGTTTGTGTGTGTTTGTTTGTGTGTGTGTGTGTGTGTGTGTGTGTGTGTGTGTGTGTGTGGTTTAGCAAGATAACTCGAGAAGCAGTAGATGAATTTGAATAAAAATTGGTAGGTGGGTAGGTCTTCACGAGACCTACCCACCTGCAGCAGATCTTCCGGTTTTGATATCTCGTGATCTGGACATGCTAGGGTCACGAATTTTGGATGGCAGATAGCTCTTGGGATAGGAAAGAAGTGACTAGAGATTAGATCCCCTAGCGGCATGTTCTAGAACTGCAGGAGCATTTGTTGAAAAATTTTCGAAGAAGAATAAATCATGAACCGGTTGACGGATTGTCGTGATTTTTGGTATGTAGGCAGTTGAAGTGATGCTTGACATTATTGAATTACAATTATGCAAATCAGGAGCTAATTTGCATAATTAATGAGGAAATTCTATAAATCCGCTTTGTTCAATAATAGGATTATATAACACTTGTGACATCTACTTGAGATAGAGAAAAAACATCTGAGGATACATATTATGCAAATGAGGACGAAATTTGCATAATTAATGGCAAATTTGTATAACTTCATAGTTGTAACTGCTGGGAATTTTCATACTTGCCACATTTGGAAGTTAAGTGAAGGTGAACATCAATAAACATAATTTACTCAAATCGTCCTGATTTGCATAATTTATGAGGAAGTGCTATAATAGCTTTTTTGTTAAGATATGACTGTCATTGGGTGGAGAATATGATCAACTGGTATAATTCATGCAGATGAGGCTCTTGCTATCAATGATTGAAATCAATGATTAAAATTATATAATTCATCAACCGCAAGGGTTAACATTATTTGGCGAAGGTATGAGGACGTGCACGTGGAACTCTTGTTTGGTAATAACTTTATAATTTTTTAAACGTTTAGACAGAGATTCACGTACCAAGTGATGTATTCCGCCTTAGTGTGATTCTAAAAGAAGATAATCATAACATAGATTTATAACCATTCATATTCTACCTTTAGGGCCGTCTCCTGAGTTCAGACTTCCTCCTGCCAGCTGGAGAGGCAGGCTGTGAAACCGCCATGCTGGCATACCTGCAAGGAAGCAAAAGCGGAGTCCCCACATGGAAGGAAATGATCGGCGGAAATGAGTTCACGGTCATTTTTGACATGCCCTACGACATCCCAGGGATTATTCAGGCTCAAGACGTGCTGCAGCTGAAGTTCATCAGTCGCATGTGGCTCTCAACAAGAATCGGGTCTGCACCTCATTTATATGACGGCTATGACAACGGAGGGAGCAACGACGTCCAGGAAAAAAAGGTTGCTAAACAAGATCACATTCAATTTTCTCGTTATTTCATTCTTTTTTTTTAATTTGAAATGTTTCTTTTTATTTCTTTTAGTTCTAGACAAAAAAATAAAATAAATTCATTATATTACGACTCTGCAGGTCAGCGTTCAGGGCCTTGTTATGACATATACTGAGGGAACAGGTGTCTTTACGGTGACGGATGACGACTTCAAGGCATCAGTTTCCATCCTACCAGACTTACCACAGTGGATTAAAGGTCGCAAAGTAGCCAGAGCTGAGTACAAAAAACTTCTTAACCACCTAGGCCGGAAAATGTAAGTAAGCTTTGTTATATAATCACAATTGTCATTATTGATATAGTTAACTTTAAAAAGTTTAACTCATCCTTCACATTTGCTTGAGGGCATGGGTGAAACTTGGAACAAGGGAACTTGATGTCGACAGACTCTTCGATTATGTATTTTTAGGGATACAATGGGAGATGTTCCGTGTAGCATCCAATGGTCCAACGCGCATAATTTTAACCCAAACGGTAAGGGGAAGTGCATTCACTTCACTGCAGCATCAGAGGGCGACATCTTTGTCGTGTTTGCCAGCATCCCGCAAAACCATGAGACATGGATATACATACAGATCTCACCAGAGGGAGTTGCATTATATAAGGTTAGCAGTTCATTTAATTAGCATCATTAATAAACGTTAAGTCATGCATGATCGCAATACACGCTATGCACCTATACTCATACCACCAAAAGAGGGCGTTTCTAAGGCTGGTACCTAATCTCTTGATTCTCTCTCCATTCTTTTGATTTCTCTTTCTGTCTCTGTCTCTCTTTACAAATACACGTACGAAGAGCAAGTAAGAAAATTACTTACTAAATGGACATGGTTAATTTTTTTTTCAATGCAAAAAATAATAATGATAATTGTTGATATGCAAACATATTAGGCAATGCGGCTTCAAACGACCCAGCTGAATGACAAGGCCGGGGGACTAGGTTCGGCAACCCTGTACCAGTCGTACTTTGCCTGTGTGACTGAAGATGCAACGGACAAAACCACAGTCATCCAATATGGTAAAATGCCTTACAATGAGGTACGTTAATCTCTACAAAATGACAATAGAATTCAGTTAACGAAATTAGATGCTCAATGCAATTTGAGATAATATTGAAAAAAAAAAGCCTACTATGAATCTTCTTCTAATTTTTTTCACAGTGGCCAAAAGTGTACCGTTTTCCACAGTGACCAAAAGTGTACCGCGTCTCGTAGTGCGACGTAGATGATTCTCATGCTAATATTGCCAACAGTTAAAACATGTTTTTTGTCGAAACTGCAATAATAGGAGCGCCCGCATGTGTGGCTTGGTTTCACTTTCCACGAGGTGGCGTCCCTGCGATACTATTCCTTCGGCAGTGGGGAGTCTCCTGTGAAGGTGATGGGACTGTCACTGCTGGACAAGCCGGCAAAGGACTTCATCATCTGCCGGGAAGGGACGGAGATGGTTGACGGGGTCTGCCGGCAGAAATGCCACCCCGAGTGTAAAGGTCAGTCCATTTGCAAAGAATAACATTTTTACACTTTTACACAGCTTTTTCACAGCCTTTTTATAAGCATCCTAATTCACTTTCAGTCGTACGGTTATTTAAATGTTACTGATCGTAGGAACATACATTGAAAATTAAATGTTATATCGATCTCTTGATAAAAAATCATAGAATATTCTTCAAGCAATTGTTGTGAAGCTGTCTAAAGTTGTAAAGGTATATACTAATGGAAATATTCTAATATTCTACTTGTAATATTTGTAAAGCTTGTCTGTCTAAGAACATTTTCTTACTGTACTAGGGGTATGGCTATATTTTTCTCTCTAAAATTACTCGTGATATTGATGTATTGACAGACGGTCTTTTTTCCTATACACTGTATTCTTGTCGATGCAGGATGTCGCACAAGTGGATCAAACTCTCCAACTGACTGCATTGCCTGTAAACATTTGAAAGTATCTAAGGATAGGCAAATAGGCTCCTTCGAATGCGTCACACAGTGCCCGCCTCACATGCAAGCTAGTATTGCAACGAAAACCTGCACATGTAAGTGTTTGCATGCATTTATTCAATTAATTCCATAGATCTATTTTACAGAAAATGATTGTTTATCTAGCTTTTCTATCCCGTAAATGATTTCTGTTTATGACCAATCATTAATCAGGTTTTATAAACAAAATCGCATAAACAGTTCTGTCATTATTGAAGCATTAATATGAGAAGACGGATATCTAATAAAAGGACATCACAGAAAATTGCATATGGAAAGGGGGGATGTAGGGCAAAGGTTAATGATAATGATCACGAGGTAATTGTAACTTCTGTTTTACTCCTCAAAAGTCCCTCGTAGTGACGGTGTCCAAGTTGAATCATAGCCCTTTATCATTAGCTGTTAAGACTCTGCGAAACTTTTAAAAGCAATTAAAGATTAATGAAAAAAAACTATTACGAATTAGTTTTGCATTAATTTGCATTAATTCATTTAATTCTTTTGTTGCCAGGCATAAAGAAAATGGAAAAGGCACATCCAGATGGTGTTGTGTACTGTGTGACAGACTGCCCTCTGACCCACTTTGATGATAACAACGTGTGCAAAAGTATATGGAAATGTTTGTGTTCTGACTAGATTCTACAAAAGTAGGGATAATTGCACTTTGGCATGAGCGTTTTACTAAGCTTTAAGATCAAATGTTTGTTGATTAATACCATGTAGCAGTACAGACAACAAATCATCTACTATCGCCGGCTGGCACAATTAGTTATCTGCATATCAGTTAGATATCTGCAACGATTAGTAAATCTATAATTTTTAATATCATAGATTAAAAATAATCGATTGACGAGATTTTAAAAAATGTCTTCAATAGATGTTTGAAACGATTGTTTGTACTTTTAAAGAGATTATGAAAAGGTTGTTTTTACTTTTTAAGTTAACAGATTCTTTTTTTCGTTATGAGCAGAATGCAGCAGTTTTTGCAAAGACATCAACCACGTTGGAAACAGCCAATCAAATGCATTAAATCAGACCAATGTCGTGGGAAAGAGAATCTGCTCAGGCCCGGCTTCAACAGACTGTGACACGTGCAAGTATCAACATGAGGGACGCTGTGTGGAAGAATGCAGACCTGGACAGAAAGCTGTGAAGACCGGAGGTCAGTCGTGTTTTTTTTTTTGTTTCTAAATAATAAAGATACCATTGATTTTAAAATATAGTGCCATTGGTATATGTGACTTGTAAACACTTGATGCGACGTGTATGTGGCCTATTTGGTGTCCCAGGGCGAGGTCAGTTCATACTAACTAACATATTAAAATTGAGAAATGTGATATGTGACTGGTACATTTTTGTAAGGTTAATCTAATTAAAAAAAAGACCTTCCAAAAGTAATTAATTATTTAGTAGGGTTTGAATTTTACTTAAAAATTATACTAATTATACTATAATGTACTTTCTCTACATCCAAGCACAGTTGGGGCATTATCACTAGAAAGCTTTAAACAACTCTTGCAATTAAATGTGCAAAGATTGTGTGTAACAAGCCGTTCGGTGTGATATAGCTAGCTGCCGCCGCGCCGCGTGCCTGCGAAGCTAGTGTATTACGCCGAAGGGCGGTTACACCGGCCATACCGATACATATACATATATAGTGTTTCTGTTACTGAACAGAAGAACCATAACGATATTATCTAGGATGTGTAGCCGTAGAAGAGAGACTTATACAGATGTTGGTTTAGCAAATGCGAGAAAACTGATGATGTACATGTAAGACGCATTTTGTATCTTTATATTAGAACACGGAGCCTTCACCTGCCGTCGATGTCACCCCGGGCATGAGTGCAAGCTTGGGGACGAGCGGGAAGACATCTGTCCAGCGGGAACGGCCAGTAACGACAAAAGCACAAAGTGCGTGCCGTGTGCAGCAGGGGAGTTCAGCAACTCTTCGGGAGCGGCGTCTTGTCAGAAGTGTCCCGCCGGAAAATACAGCACTGGCGGGGGGTCCACAAGCTGTTTAGACTGTCCCGCCGGAAAGTACAGCAGTACAGCAGGGTCCACGGGTTGTACGATTTGTCCTGCCGGGAAATACAGTAGTAGGACGGGGTCAGACCTTTGTGAGACATGTCCTGCTGGTAAATACAGTGAGAAAGAGTCAACTGTTTGTAAGACCTGCCCTGTCGGAAAATACAGCAGCAAAGTTGGGTCAACGGGTTGCATTGACTGTCACGCCGGAGAGTACAGTGACGTTGAGGGGGCAACGAGCTGTAAGGCATGCCCTGTTGGTAAATACAGCATCAAAACAGAGTCGAATAGTTGTATGGGCTGCCCCGCTGGACAATACACTGACACAGTAGGGTCCACAAGGTGTAAGTCCTGTCCTGCTGGAAAATACAGCAACGGAGTCGAATCAACTATGTGTATGACCTGCCCTGCTGGAAAATACAGCGACAAATTGGAGTCAACGAGCTGTATGGGATGTCCCGCTGGACAATATAGTGAAACAACTGGGTCTACAAGTTGTGAGGCCTGTCCTCCTGGAAAATACAGCAACAATGTGGCGTCAACTAGTTGCAAGACCTGTCCTGCCGGACAATACAATAACCGAGCGGGGGCTAGGAGTTGCAGGGTCTGCCGCGCCGGAACGTACAGCAGCGCAGGGTCCACGGGCTGTAGGACCTGTCCACGCGGAATGAATAGCCGACAAGGGTCGTCCAGATGTAGGTGTATTTTTACAAGGCCTTGGAAATAATCTATATTTACTTGTAAAAAGAACCTTGTTAGTCGTGAGTTCCGTTTAAGTTCGGGTAAAGCGCAATATTTTCCGTAAACCGTAAACCTACCATTTTGTCATTCTGTTCAAGTATACGCATTATTGCAGTCCTATTGCCAAGGGAATATTAGGTCTGTCAAAAATGTTAACCTACAAGAAGCTATAGCTACAGCACGTCAAGTAGACGACAGGAATCTACATGTCTTTTTAATTAGTTCTCTCGTGTGTTTTCCCATAAAGGTACATGCCCATCTGGCTACACAATGTCCCGAGGAAGTTGCTTCAAGGTCTACGGAAATGCCAAAAACTACGATGGGGCGAGGAGAGCCTGCATTTCAGATAGTGGACGACTGGCAATGCCTAAAAGCAGTGCCGTCAATACGTTCATACAGGGCCTGGCTAGAAGGGACAAACGAAACGGGGATTATTTCATCGGACTGAGTGATGAACGAGTCGAAGGCCATTGGCGGTTTGCTGACAATTCCCCTCTAGGTAATTCCAATATCCATTAAATTACATGTATCCGTTAAACGCGCTTAGAACGAAAGGACTAGGTGGCGGGGTATTTGAACAATTATAACCACCCGGAGAGTTCTGTACAACATAAAACAGAAATTCTTTTCAGCTAGTGTACATGACGGTCCATATATGTATAGATTGTGAAATCTATTTTTTTTTTCATTATGAAAGTCTAAAATATTTCAGGTAGGTATCAGGCACCTGAACTCAGGTTTAAATACATCTTGTTATATTGTGATTTGTATGATTGTCACTTTCCTTAAGCATTATGTAAAAATACGTCTGCAAAATAAAAATGAGCCTTAAAAGTATTATCCGTGGTACCATTAATTTTTATCGAAACAAACCTGTACCAATTTATACAGGAAGCTACAAGAACTGGAACCCGCGCGAACCCAACAACTATAGAGGGGGTGAGGACTGCGTGGTGATGAGGTATAATGGGAGGTGGAACGACCAGAACTGTCGCCGGGCTTTCCCTTACATCTGCCAGATCAACTGAAACCTGTCGAATGTAAGTCTCTCTTACTATTTGGAATTGTCCGTTAGGTTGACAAAGTAAGTGGTTTCTGGCATATTATCAGATGATAACAGCCTCAATGGACCTATTACTACATCATTACGTCACAGTCTGTTTACCTGTTCTGAAGAACATTCTAGAATGGTCAGTTAAAGAATAAGGATCATTTTAAGTTTTCAAAGTCAGGTGTGTTTTATGCTCCCTGGGTCTAGTTTTGTTGACACAGCATTACATGTCCTAATGGGTGATTTAGTTGTGACAGTAGACGACAGTAGTATATGTAACGCCACACAAGCGCGCACACACACCTGTACAATATAAACATCGATCGACCACAAACTGTCCAAACATTCATTGTGGTAAACTAATTTCTGACGTAATAATATAATAGGTCGTCCATTATATGATATGATCCTACCTTTTGGGCACATGGCAGGAATGAGAGTTCCTATCTCAACATACCGGAAAGAGGAATGGAATTAACTGTCAGAAATCACTTGACTGAGTTTAATGTTGAAAGGCTAGTCTAACTGAGATACGCGTGCGTTTTGTCTAAAATTCCTAAATTTCATACGGCTTAAACTGTTCGTAGAGATCGAATCAAAATGATCAGTGACCTTTAACCCCTCAGCAAAAGAAACGAACACAATCAAAACGTCAAATTCTAGAGTTTCTAAATCATTTACTTCATCATTTTCTTAACAAAATAAGGAGGAATAAAGCATTTCTAGTTGTGACTGTCATCTTCAGTCAGCATATACGCACAAAAAAATTGTACATTTGGTTTGCATGCGCTTATCTGTTACTCAAAGTAGGCTTAGTGAAACTATGTCAAGTTTCTTTCCCTGTTTGCAGACTTCTACCTTTCTGCGCATACGTTCTGTTTCCAAATTATATTTCACGCAAAACGGAATATTTGGTATATTCCCAACCCTATCTGTTTAACACTACCCTTACAAAATTTTCGGAAAATTTAGCTTGTAAGCAACATATGTTTGTTAAAAAAAAGGAAAAGCTTGCAAAGTTATATTAACAGCTTGATTAAAAGAATGATATTCCGAAAAAAAACACGTATTCCAAACTTTTGCTAACTACGTTTTGTTTAGGTTTAACGTAGCTGCATATACTTACTTATTTTCAGAACCTAAGGCGTAGCGTTAAATGATACTTCATATTGTATGTAATATATTTTTATTGTATGCAATCCAAGTAATGTTTTGCGATTTTCTTAGCAAAATATTCCACTATTGACTCAATAAAATTTGCCATTGCTTAAAATATAGCTCTCTAATATTTTATAGAGAGTAACTGCCAATGATCGGACAACCCCCCCCCCAAAAAAAAAAAAATCAAAATTATTATAATTGTCCCAGGACAATTATAATAAATTTTGATTTTTGTTTTGTTTTATTCTATAGAATCTTTATGCTATAACATCTTCAATTTTCTTTTTAAATAACATATTAGTTAATTAACTCGGTTTCATTATTTCCAGTTTAAACGCAGGAATCAACACAACATGTTTAGAATCAACACACCATGATGTTGATGAATGGAAGAAGCAAAGAAGGGGAGACAGAGAGTAGCTGATACGCAACCGGCCTTTTTATTTGGTCATTTTTTGAAGAATAAAGATATCATAAACGGTAACCTTTGATGTATAGGTGGAATACTTGCAGTGTGTCATGTATTCAGATCTCTAGGATTTTTTGTCAGTCCAGTTTTTTTTTTACATTTAAAACGTATTATTTCAATGTTCTTAAAACAAATTGGGGTGACAGTTTGATACGTAGTACCCCAATCTTCTCTTACATTCTAGTACCAGTTAAGCCAAACGTCATTGAAAAACATTAGTCATTTGGTACATGTATTCAAGTAACCTAACATTTAAGATGCTATTTTCATCAAACTACAGTTGTTTTTGCTTGATGTTCTGTGTGTGTTTTATAAATGTTCAGTGAATCTTGTAGCCTTTAGACAAAAGTCATTCCAATTATAATTTTACTTCCAATAACTTTGATGCACTTAATTTGTAAAAGTAGTACTGTACACGCGTTTTACAATTTGCGTTGAAACTTACATGAAGAATGTGCTTTTAACACCAACAAGTTTTATCGTTTTAATACCTATCTGTTTGTTTTATAATATCAATATTCTGACCATGTACCCGGATAAATATTAATAGAAGTATGCAATATATAGATATACATATGAAAAATAGATGATAATCTGCAAAGGAAAGTGCTTTATTATCGTCTGGATCATAAGAATGTTGGGTAGCCCCACATCAAAAATGTGGACTTAAAATAATGGACTTTTACCAATTGAAATCATAAATCTTGCTTTGCATATTTGAAAGAACACACATGTCAGCCAAAATTCTATGATTTCTAAATTCTTAATCTAGTCAACATCCTTTAATTTGGTTTAAAATGCTACATAGACGAGAAAAAGAGAACGTAAAGGAAAAATATAAGTAAACTAAAGGTTCAAACCAGTGACCGTAAGACCAATGACATGCATGTTTGTCTTTTACAACGGAATATTTCTTTTTTCACAATATCCGTCTAATATCGCGTGTATCACTAGATGTTAATCATAGCAACAAATGTCATAGTATTTTGATATTTTTGGTCAAATATTTACTCATGTATCAATATGTTAATCAAGTATAAGTAAGTTAAAGTTAGAGTTAAGGTGTCCTCCCTTGCTAATTTGGCATTTTAGCTTTCCATCATTTTCTCACAAAGAAATTTATAAAGAACTATAGTTGTACTGAATATTGATACCTGGGTACAAAAGGGTTATGAAGATGATTTTTTGGACCATATGGATGACGTCATCACATTTTATTGCCCAAAATGTAATTATCTTTAAAGTTATAATATAGCACATAGGTACAAGTAACGGAAATAAAAGTATGATTTTCATGTGCATAATGGGCAAAGCTACAAACGTACGTTTGCACAAATTGATATCTACTAATTATCCGTAGTTATTAGAGAATAACCTTATTGCCTAGTTAAAATTTAGTTATTCTCTAATACTAGTAACTACGGGTAATTAGTAGATATCAATTTGTGCAAACGTACGTTTGTAGCTTTGACCATTATGTACATTAAAATCATACTTTTATTTCAGTTACTTGTACCAAAGTGCTATATTATAACTTTAAAGATAATTACATTTGGGGCAATTGAATGTGATGACGTCATCCATGTGCTCTTTCTAAATTTCTTTGTGAGAAAACGACGGACAGCTAAAATGCCAAATTAGCCAGGGAGGACACCTTAAAGTTAAAATTAGACCCCAGGTCTATACATTGTACACAGGTAAATACCAGCACTTCTGAAGAAGAAATATTTTACAAAAACAGTCCACTCATATTCTGTTTACCCGAGCTAAACATATGGCATAGGCAACTCGAAGTAAAAGCAACAAGCTTATTTGCAAATACGTGAACAAATGAGAAAATGGCAAGCTGGATATTTTCAGGACCTGCTCAAGTATATGTTTTCAGTACTTGTACTAGGTTTCAACACAAAACCTTATAATAGTAGTAGTTAAAAGTCCACGTGTGATTTACCTTTTAGTGGTCTTCTATAAGCATAAACAATCACTTGACCATGTTGAAAAATGTAACTGACATAGCCTGTATGCAACATCATTTAAAGAAAACATTTCGTTTCTGCCACTTGTTATTAAAACTTGTTGATACCATATGAACATGAATCCATTTGGCATTAAACTTAATCGGAAGTGCTACGAGGTGAATCCGAGATTTTTTCTTATGTTGAGAATTGCTATATTTGGCAACATTGTTTAGTATACACACCTAGAAGGCTCAGACCTATCTAGCGACAACCTCCAACACATAAACACACAAGCATGCACTGACACAAGCACATGCACACCTGCATATTACATGTAAATTGTGTTCACGGTAGTTCAAAACTGACATGAAAATCCCAACTCTTAGCTGATTAATATTGATGAAAATAAGATGTCAATCACACTTGTCACCATTGAAAATGCTCAAGACTGGAGCGTACCGATATTCCTCTTGATAATCACGGAGTAGCCCGTGAACTGGGTAAAGTAACAACGTTACATAATGGTACGTACGTAATTCGTAACCGATAGACGATAATCGCCGTGAAGTAACAATACATAACGGCACGAACATAGTTCGTAGCCGAAAAAAATAAAATAGGGCGTAGCAATATTCACACCGATAATTGCTGAATGGAACAGCTTGTGAACAGTGTAAAGTAAACGATCATCGTATATAATAATGAATGAAATGAATATAGTTTATTTAGTTCAAAATCCCTTGCCACAAACTTTGCAGCCACAACGGCTGAATTGCGTTACGGCATTTACAATTTTAGTCATGATTAAAAACATATTTACATCAACATAACAATTCGTATATATACATGCTTAAAACGTATTAACATAAACGTACACTTGCAATTTGGGTAGAGGCATGATTAGAGCTTATTTGCATAATAATACGGAGTTTAAAAAGTTCTATACAGCATTGTATCAGAGGATAATACTGTGACATGTTAAAAACCAATGTCAGCGCAACCATTCGAAATGCATTGTCAACAGGTAGTAAAAATGGTCAACGGTAGTATAAAGTGTCACTGTGGTTTAAAAGTGACGGTACAATGTGCAGAGCTGAATATGTCATCAGTAACATAAGTACTGAGCATATGCCATGAAAGCCCATAACAGGGATCGGTTTAAGTAACGAAGCTTCCCAGGTGCGGAGAGTAACAAAGCGCTCAATAGGTGGGGCGACGCCTCGAATTCATAACCGAGCATGGGGTCATAACTGAACATAACGAGTACAAATCTCGGATCCATAACCGAGCGCAACAGAGCCACGGCCGGAGTATGTGGCGAAATCTGCAAAATAACTTACACTAAATTAAGGCATGGAATAAACCAAACGGAGAGGGATATGTTTGGCG